AGAATAACCACTCCAGCTGGAAAGTGACGGGGGAATCTGCGAGAGGAGGGTGTGAGAGAGAAGGAGCCTTAAGTTCTGCAAATAAACTCTGCCCCAAATCCCCGGATGACCCTGAACTGCAGACAGGAGGCGCATTTAAACAGCCACACATGAAAATCTGCACTGGGATTTGAGATTCGAAGTCTGCATTTGCATCCAGTCAGTTAATTACCTGACAACAACAACAACAACAACAAAGTGGTGCTTTTCAGACAATATCACAGAATCCAGAATCTCTAAACACAATTGTCACAGTGTCCAAGATTCGATCCCAAGTTGTTCCTCAACAAAGAAGCCGGCAGGTGGGACCCACTCTCAAAAGAAAGCATATCTGTAGAGTCCAACCCCAAGAAGACCCAAAGGTAATCAGTAGAGGTTTTGAAAACAGTTATTGTAGACATGCTTAATGGCAACGTAAAGGAAAAAATGTCTGTAAAGGATAAGCAGATAGGAAATCTCAGAAGATAAATAAAAACTATTTAAAAAAATAAGTGAAAATTCTAAAAATTGAGAAATACAATCTCTGAAATTAAAAATTAACAGCAGACAGGAGGTGCCGAGGGAAGACATTGAACTCGAAGCTAGAGCAATAGAAATCATCCCATCTGAGGGGCGCCTGGGCGGCTCAGTCAGTTCAGCATCTGACTCTTGATTTCAGCTCAGTTCATGATCTCAGGGTTGTGGGATCGAGCCCCACATTGGGGTCCACGCTTATCGGGGACTCTGCTGGAGATTCTCTCTCTCCCTTCCCACTCGCTCTCTTTCTCTCTCTCTCTTTCTCTCTCAAATAAATAAATAAATCCTTCAAAGAAGAATTGAGTCAAAGTGAAGGCACTTTCAGATAAAAGAAAACTGAAGGAATTCATCGCCACAAGACCTGCACTACAAAATAAATAAAATGCTTTAGGTTGAAAGGAATGGCCAACGACTCTTCTTTTTCCTCTTGATGCCTTTAGAATTCGTATGGCCATCAAAAGCAAAATTTACGACGTTGTCGGGTGGAGCTATGGATTGGACTGTTTCCTCCCGAATTCATCGGTTGAAGCCCTAGCCCGTGCTGAGACAGTATTCGGAGAAGGGACTCTTAGGAGATAATGAGGTCATACGGGTAGGGTCTTAATCCAATAGGTTTGTGGCCTTATAAGAAGAGGAAGAGAGAGCTCTCTCCCACACGCACACACCCAGAAAAGGACACCTGAGCCCCCAGCAGGAGGCGGGAAGAGCGCCCTCACCCCGACGCCATTGAGCTGGCACGTCCACCCTCCCCAGCCCTGAGAAACAAATTTCCGTCCCGCCCATTTTGGTAGTTCGCCAGGGCGGCGCACGTACACGGGGACAGGTAGGGTTTGATGCCCTGACGAGTCGGGGACGCAGGACGGGAGGTCAGGGACAGCAAACAGTCCTACAGGGCTGCTCGGCCCTGCCCTTTACGTGAGGTGATACAATGTCAGCCCTAATTAGTCCAAGGAAAATCAAAAATGTGTATTATAACTGTGTTAGTTTCCTGTGGGTGCTGTAACGAGTCACCGGAGAATTCATCGTTGAAAACCACATAACATTGGTTCTCTTCGGTTCTGGAAGTCAGAAGTGTGAGCGGGGCTGCACCCCCGGGGGCTCTGGGCGCCCATGTCCCTGCCTCATCCTGTCGCCAGGGCTGCTCCCAGCTCCAGCAGCGGCGCCTCCCGAATCTCTCTCCTTGGTCACCGCGTGTGACCAAGGACACACCTGTCTCATCAAATCTCTTAAGAACACCTGTGATTATCCGTAGCCGCCCCCCCCCCAGGACCCAGGACCATCTCCCATCCCCACGCCCTTAACTATCACATCTGCAAAGTTCTCACAACTGTGTGAGCCTCCGTCTCCTCCGCCGGCACAGACTACCTGCCACGGGGCGGTGTTTTCCAGCCGGTGTGGATCTGCCCGAGTGCCCTGCCCTATTCCCCTCCCATACACCCCACCTCCCCCCAGCGTGCCCGCGGGCACGCACGCACGCACACACCTGAGCGGGTCAGTCCGACCTGACCGCCCCCGCTGACCCGGGTCACGCCCCTCTCACCTCCGCGGTGAAATCATATCTCGGTATTTACAAAATTCAAGCGCATTCCTTTCCTTCAGGCTTCACTTCTGTAGCCTGTGGGCTCTCTGAGAGCAGAGACTTGATTTTATTTGAGAGTATCGTCCCTGAACCAGGTGCTTATAGGCCATTTGCCTATAATAAATTAATAAATAAAATAAAGTGGAAAATACAGTGGCCTGTCCTCTGTCTACTGTATCTTGAAAAGCAAACTGGGATCGGGGAATAATTCACCCCCGACTGGGCCCTCTGCTCTGTAACATCATATCCCGCCAACTCGGCCTGGTGCCCACCTTATCTTTTTCCCGACATTTGGCGCGGGCACAGTAAGTGCACCCTATTTCAGATAGTTAAGAGATACTCAGAGCATGAATTTTTTCTCTTTCACCCCCAGACAAGTGACAAGTGACAAAGATTTGATGTGCGTGGTCATTTGTCCTCTGTCCCCTGACCCAGCCTTTGGCAGCTGCTAGGGTGGCCATTCTATGATTGAGACCAAGGGCCCCCGAGCACTGACCCTGAGACGCCCCCTCCGGGGCTCCGGGAAAATGTCCGTGTGGAGACAAGGAGGGGAGCTGTGATTGCTGATCGGGCCAGGGAGGCAGGCGAGCAGGTGCTTAAAGAGTGTACGAAAACGGACCTCAGACAGAAGGACGGGAGGGGGAGGCTCGGGGGCCACGGTCAGACGGGACGCCTGGAGCCGCTGCCTCTCACCCGGGAGCTTAATGACACACTTCCCCTCCTTCGCACGCCAGCCAAGCAGGAGCCAGCAGGGCATCCCCTGACTTTGCCGCCCAGCCGGGCCTGGAGACTGCCCCAAACACAAACACAGATATTCCGGGCCTTGAAGTTCCCCCAGAGACTACTCATTTGATGCAATTGCATGTGGTCTGATCGACAAACTCCCACCCAAACGCACGGCCCTTGGAGAGACAGCAATCTCAATGATCATGTCTCCCGGAACTCAGGTCCACCCTGACCACAGGATCCTTCCCAAGGCACCACCGAGAAGTGTGCACAACGGCACCATGTAATTTCTGTCTGGGAAGTGAAATACCTTTGCCATGAGTTCATCGTCCTGAGCAAAGCGATCCCTTGAGGGAACGACGCCCAGCTAAGTTGGTTCTTGAAGCCGACCGCTGAAACCCTCTCCCAGGGGTGTCTCCTCCCGTCTCCCGTGACCTTGGACACCTTTCACACACGGTCTCTCATTTTCAAAACCATGCATCCATGTTGTGTTGTCTTTCCTGTTTGCAGACCAGCCCAGAGTTGGCGCTCGGCCCTTTCCCTCCTCCCGGTGAAAGGTAAGGCTCCGAGGACTGGCTCCCGTGACAGCCCAGAACCCCTCCGGCGGGACAGCGGCCACGGGTAGCCACAGTGGCCTGGAGAGGAGTTCTGAGCTCACACGGGGCATTTCTCGTCGGGGGTTTTATGGGATGGGGCTGGGGAGGGTTGGGGACCAGCCAAGGGCGGCTGGCTGAACGATGCGATCATGCCCACAGCTCTGTCTCCTGTCGTGGTGGGAATGGGGACAGGCTCCGGGGCCCCCGAACGTGCCCGCTTCCCACACTGTAAAAACAGCGACGGCTCGGGAGCCGGCGCGGTGGCCAAAAAGAAACTTGGCTTTGTCCATAATATTCCAACTTTTTTTAAAATGAAAGCGTTTGTGCTTTAGTGATAGAATTATCAGTTTTGTTTAAAATCAAAGGCCATGCTGCCGGGTTCTGGGAGGGGCTCCTAACTTTTGCTCTAGTTACCTCGGACGCGGACCCTGCAGGTCGGTTCAGGACGGCCAACGCCTGACCAGCCGCCACCACCAGGCGGCTCCAGGGCCTCCTGGGCACCGCACGCGGGTCCCTCTGGCGGAAGGGACTGGTCGGCAGCCCAACAGAAGAGGCGGTGAGTCTCCGGTCACTTACTCGGGCAGACAAGCAGCTAACCACACGCAGGGACAAGGGACGTTGGTCCTCTACTAGCCCTAACATAGGAGTCGTTCCAGAAGGGACGGGATGGGGTGGGGTTGGGACGGTCGGCAAAGAGGGAACATCCTGGAAGAAAATGGGGATGTAGACGAGAAAGCTCGTGGTCATTTCCAGGTCAGCCCTCCCCCACTGGCCCTTGCCCTCCGGAGGCCTCCCCACGCCCCCCCTTTTCCTTCCTGGCCGTCCGTCTGTCCCGGGGGTCCTGGCAGGAGACCTGAGACCGTGGGAAAGCTCAGCTTCTTCATCACTGCCGGTCTTCACAGTGGCCTGGAGACAGACAGGAGCGAGCAGCCCCGACCGAAGTGGAAAGAACCAGGAGGCCAACGCGGGTCTGTCCTGGCCCGGAGCCCCTGCCCCGTGTCCAATAAGGCGGGTCGTGGCTTGCTGAGGCACCTAGGTCCCGGAGTCCCATCAACCTCGTTTGAACACCAGCTCTGACAGTCACGGTGCAACCTCGGGCAAACTGCACAAGCTCTCTGTGCCTCTCTCTGTGCCTCGGTTTCTGTAGCTGCAAAATGGGGCTTTAAGCCGTACAGCCGAGCAGCTGGGAAAGGCGCTGTGCACGCCGGGGCCGTGGGAGACATGTCGGTGTTCGTGGCTGGTTCGGGGCCCGAACTGAAGAGTCTGGCAGGAGGCTGGAGTCCCATCCACCCTCCTCAGAGCGGCCGCTCCCGGCCCCTCTGCAGACTTCCAGGACCCTCCAGCTCGCTCTCTCATGGTAGGTAACGCCACCGAGGCCCAGCGATCAGAAGAGTCTTGGTCCTGATCCTGAGCTGTTGTTGGCATGCCCCCCAGCAGACCAGGGTTTATAGCCTTTTCCCTCAATATTCTACCTTTTTATACCTTAAATTATTTTCTAGTTATCATAAGAATTGGCACGAGAGGTACTTAACCATTGTGTGTCAGTGACAACATGGAGTTCTTTATAAATGGTTCATCTTCGTTAGGAACAACAGGCGGCTATTTTATTCCTGTTTCACAGATGAGGAAACTAGGCAGCGTGGACCGGGAGCCCCCCGGGGGACACAACGAGAGAGTGGCCGAATCCAGCGTGAAATCCACGTGGACATAGTTCCAAAGCTTATGCCCGTCAGCTCCACACTGGATGTCTCATTCAAAAAACAAAAAAAACAAACGTTCATTATTTTTGTTTTTCAAAATATAAAAAAGTCCTAGATTTTGTTGCAGTCAGCTGATAGAACACCATACAAAGAAATAGAAGCTAATCCTCCCCCACCGCCGCCCGCGGGCCCTGACACACCGACACCAGCAACCTGGTAGGCGTCCTCTTACAACCCAGCCCTTGCTGACACAACCCTGAACAAGTTTACATGGGGCGCAAATTGTTTCTTATTCCCCACACAGTATCTTACTGTGCGCATTACTCTGCCATCCGCCCTTTCACTTGATATGTGATGCACATTCCTTACAAAAGAGTAGACCTAAATCGTTTTTTCTACCTTCTGTAAGGTGTCTCCAAAGGCACACGAACACATCATTTCACAAAGATGGACGAGCTTCATTCTTGGTGGGGGGATTGGTGCCATGCACCCTTGCCATCCACAATTTGTCACTTCTTTCCATACTTTTGTCCACCCTTATATAATGAGGTTGTCAGATTTAGCAAATAAGAAATGCATTACTTGGGACAAAAACAGTTAACAAAATAATTGCATGGGATATACTTATACTAAAAAAAAAAATCTTTCTCTGAAGGTGAAATTTAACCAGGCATGCCCTATTTCACCTGACAGCCCTGTTATATAAACACAAACATACACATTGGGAGTCTGATGATACACATTTCTTGGTACCTTAATGTTCTGATCCAAAATACCCAGGGACATGTCTCCAAGCCAAATGATGTGGCTCTTTAACAGGGCATATGGCATGGGTGTCCTCTAATCTGCCCCCCTCCCCATGAAGACAGGCCTCTAACACCATCCCAAGCCCCCAGAAGGCCCCCCCATGCCTCATCGATGCCACCTCTGGCTTGTGCTCTGGGAACTGGGGACAGCGATATGCAGAGACCGCCCAGGAACTGTCTCCTCCACTCTCAACACACCAAACTTTTCTGTACCCACTTCTTTAGGAGAGATGCTGGTGGCTAGCGTCCCCGAAAGGAAAGCATGTGGGAAACTTCAGCTAACGTGGAACCGACCGTTACTACCGATAGAAAAGACGTCTCTTTACACGGGTCTTCCTGCAGACTCTCTGTGGCGGTCTTTACTCGTGAGAAGAGATGGGATTTCTTCTTTAGGTTTCTTCCTTTTAGAAGAAAAGGTTGGATTTTAACTGTTTTCCTTCTTTTGAACAGAGATGTAGGTATGCCGGAAAGCTACAGACAAACCAGGAGAAGAAAGGGCTCCAGCTCTTCGGCCGGAGAATCCCAGGCGTCGGGCATCTGGATCAAACATCTGGGCCCCACAGTCCGGACACCCTGGGAGACCCAGGCTTGTCCCTGGGGAATAAAAATGCCCGCCCTGAAGGCTGTCCACCTTTCTTTAGATTCCTCACTGGTCTTTCCCAGTTAGAGATGGCGGCTGGTGGGACAGACGCGAGGCAGTGTCCAGGGAAAGGGGCAGAAACAGAGAGGGGGACAGAGGGAGGCTGTGCAGCACCGCAGGCCCACAGGGAGCCCTGGAGCTGTTGGGGAGAGGCCCGCCCCCCAGAAGCAGCCTCCCCACAGGACAACTGTGCACCCCCTTTCTGCCTGGCCTTTGGGGAGCCCCATTAGGGCTGCCGGGGAGGGGGAGCCAAGGAGAGTGGGTGTGTTAGATGCACCCCACCCTCTGGACGCAGGGAAGGTGGGGCAGTTCTCAAGCCCTGTCCTCAGGTAGGTCAGCTCGGCCGAGGCTTTCCTGTGGGACCGCATCTGAGTTGGGGAAAGTGGAAGCTGGGGCAGAGCAAAGCGTCCTTTCCCACAGGCCCGGGGCTGCGCCAGGACCGAGCGGGCCTGAGCCTGTGCCCCAAACTCCTCACAACCTCTTCCCTGAGAGGAGAGGGAAGGGCGGGGGCAAGGTGGTCCCCAGCCCCACCGGAGCGAGTGGACCCCTGGCCCCAAGCCAGGCCCCTACCCCTGCCCCACCCCCCACTCTCTGACCTCAGACCCTCGGCCCTCTGGGATCCTGGACCCAGATCCCCGCTCCAGCCCCCCAGACCCCCAGCCGCAGCCTTGGCCCCCGCCCCCTTCACCATCTCCTGGCTCCCTGGACCCCAGACCCCAGTCGCCTCCCCTGCCCCACGGACTCCAGGCCCCTGGCCCCCCATCATACACTACCCCCTGCTCCCCCCGGTGCTCAAACCTATCTCCCCGGTTCCCGGAATTGCAACCCTGCCCCCCCCCCCCCCCCCCCCGGCCCCCTCCCCCCCGCCCCCCCCCCCCCCCCCCCCCCCCCCGCCCCGTCATCTGTACCCTCACTCCCTCTGGTGCCCGAACCTACCCCTCCCCATCCCCAGCGACCCCCCCCACGGACCCCCGGATCCTAGACACCCGGACCCGGGACTCCAGTCACCCCTCACCCCAACCACCCAGCGCCCTGCCATGCCCCAACCTCCCCTCCCATCTCGAGACACCCGGAACCAGGTCCCCCAACACCTCCGCTCCTCCGCCCTCCGCCCCGGCCCGCAAGCCTTCCGGGACACTCCGCGCCGGGCCGGTCCTGCCCTCTCCATGCACGGTCGCCGGCTCTGACGACCCCAGGTTTGGGCCCCGGCGCCCTGCGCCCCGAGGGGGCGGTGGTAGGAGCGGAGGCCCGCGGACGGCAGCGCGTCACAAAGGCGGCCGCCCTTGGCGCTCATCCCCCGCGAGGGCGCGCGTCCCGGCGGGCGCAGAGTCGGCGACCGAGCGCGGGCGGCGCGGGCGGAGCAGGCGGGCGGCTCGCGGTCCCCGCAGCCCAAACGGGGCGCAGCGAGCGGGGTGCGGCGAGCGGGTAACCGGCCCCTCCGCTATTCCTGGAAGCAAGCGTCCCCGGGCACCTCTGGGCCGAGGGTGGTGGGACTTCCTTAGCTTTCTTTCCCGGGTTGGCAGCTCTGGGGCAGGTGGACAGCCCTCGGCCTGAGAGTCCTTGGGGTGGGTTCGAATCCCACTTCTGCACTCAGTAGGGCGTTTGGGGGGAGCCTTCCTCAGCTTCCTCTGTTTCCCCATTTGTAAACCGGGCTTGCCCACCCCTCCCATACAGGCATCCTGCAGAATGCCTTGGCATCAACTTACTGCTGGCAGCGAACCCTGGTACAGATTCTGCTATGTGCCAGGCGCTGTTCTGGCACCTTCCACGTATGGGGCTCATTTAACCATCCCAACACTGAGAGGGGCAGCATTTTCGTCCCTGGTTTGCAGATGTGGGGTGTGAGGCACAAGGAAAATTAACTTGCCTAAGGTCATCCATAGTGGCCGACAGAACCAGGGTCCAACCTGCTAAGCTCCCGGGCCTCTGGCTGGCCTGGAGGGTTAGGTGGGGAGGGGGACATCGCCAGTAAGGACCTGGACTTGTGGACCGCTTGCCACTGCTTTCCCAGCCTACCAAATACGTTCTTCAGACACCACCCTGTGGCTTAGCGTGTCCAGTGATTCCTCTGAGCAGTGACTGCCGGGCAAAGGCTTCTGCTGAGCTTGGGAACTGGTTTGGCTCTTCTTGAGCACCTTGCCCCGAGCGAAGCGTCGAGGGGCCCCTAGCTGCCGGCAGCTTCTATGGATGAAGCAACACCCTACCCCTTCCTTCCGTGTGAAAGGGCCGCTCCAAAGAAGAGTGTCTCAAGGGTGACACAGGCTGGGACGAAGATTACCCTGAGGGACAGATGCAGGCGTGAGGGGAAGGCGAAGGCGGCAGGGCGGGCAGTGGCTCTGGGACCCCTGTGGACGCCGTGACCTGGACGGGGGCAGGCCACCGCCACAGTCCCCTGGGACGTCTGTCTGGATCTGGAGATGGGAGAGGCTGCTGCAGGCCTGGAGGGAAAGTGTGGGATGCGGACGGCAAGGCACCAGCGAAGACCCCGAAGAACCCCCCCACACACACAGGAGCTGGGGGGCGCTCGTGGCCGCTGTGGCGGTGGTGGGAGCTGGGGGCGTCTGGGAATCCGTGACAGGGAGAGCAGCCAGGAGAGAGGCGGGCATGGAGGGCAACATGACGATGCTCACCAGCATCAAGCACACATCTGGCAAAGCACAGGCACAGACCCACATCGACACCTCAGAACAGGTCGGTGCGTGCGACAAGGACAGCGGGTGGACGGGGCCAGCAGTGCGGACAGCAGTGAGGACAGCAGTGCGGA